GCTTAATGTCACAACTCAAAACTGCGTTTCTTGGTCTAAACAAATGTTTCGGCATCGTCACTTCCTGAGCTGCCTCTTTAAGTTGCGCTGATTGGCTCTCCGCGTTATGTGCGTGAAAGTCGACGCACATACTTTTTTTAGAGTTCATAGTCGAAAAAGAATTCTTTAATTTGTTATTAGCACTGTGACCCTTGAATACATAGAAATAAAGTTATAAACTGTCAAAAACGAACAAAAATGGCATGCACGGTGGGTTGCACCTTAAGGGTGGACAGAGTATAGTTGGTACATTTTATTTTTCTTCGCTAATTAAAAAAAAAGTTCGTCCCAACAATGTTCGAAGAACGTTAGCTCGTTTGAATGCATGAATCGATTAAGAATGGTGCTGCAGTTCGGACGGTAGCGTGGGCCACCTAGCATTCAAAAGCTCGAATGCTTAACTAATGGGCGCGACACCTTCACAGTTTCCATAATGCCCCGGAGCGCTTACTGGTGGCGTTGGCATTTCCAGAAAGGTCCACCGGATCTTTTAAATGCTTTGCGGAAAAGCACACGCTCCAGATTTCTTGATTGCTAGCAGTTTGAACGCGAACGTCACTTGAGACTAAAACACAAGTTGCACCCCTATACTCCAATCCGCTGGGTACAAACAAATCAGCATTTGCCCACACCAGATGTGGGTAGTGCGCGTGCGCAGAAACCTGATTGGGGTGAAGCGAAGCGTCTGCGCATGCGCGGTGCCGATAGCAGCGCCACCGCAGTGGCGTGATATCAGAGACCTAACTTGGTCCACGGTCACCAACAGCTGATGAAGAGAGCAAGTAGCCTGCTTCTTACGCAGGAGACGACGCCGAGCTCCAGATGGCTTTGATTGAAATGATAGTGGGTAGACGTCAAAGCTAGATGTCTCGATGTCTACCCATTGTTGTTTTTCAGCCAACCAATAAACGTTTGGCGTTCTGACATCCTCGCAACCCATGTGCAAGAAGCAGACTTGCGCTTCGCATAGGAAGTACAGGGTGTGGTCAGTCTCTCGTAGCTCCGCAGTCAATGAAACGCGGCAATGGCCGATGCGGGCAGAAACCGAGGGGCAGGAGGGGACGAGAGTGCGCGGGGGTGCGTCAGAACGTCGAGCTCGGGTTAAAAGGATTAGTGGGTAGACGCAAAGCTATCTGCTTCTTGCGCAGGCGTTGCGATGACGTCAAAACGCCGAGCTCTGATTGGCTCTGCTTGGAAGGATAGAAGGTAGACATCAACGCTAGCTGCGTTAATATCTATACCTACTATTATCGAGCCGATCCGAGCTCGGCGTTCTGACGTCACCGCAACCCCTGCGCAAGGAGCAGACGAACTGGAACTCCGCCTTTGTCAGCACTGCAACTCGTCGAGCGCGTTCGAACGCGGAACACCGCCGGCGTCCGGCGTTCCAGTTCTATCGACAAAGGGAGATAGCTTCTACCCACTAATCATTTCAAGCAGAGCTCGGGGTTCTGACGCCCCCCGCGCGGTTGCACCAGTGCAGTACAACCGCTAGCCTGGGGTCTTTAACGTGCACCACGCAGTAGTGATACACGACCGCACGCCGGTACGATGCTCATCCAGATCGAAACGGGCAGGGATGGGGATTGAACCCTGGTTCCCTGGGTTCTGCAGCGCGAGCTTTCGCTCCACGTGCTCCGAGATGGTGTGTGTTAGCCCACTCGGCCACCGATCCCCCATTTCTGGGTGTACGCTTACCTAAGAAAAGCATATTGTTTTTTCTAGCCGCATACCTGTGTGGTATAACTTACTGTGATGTGTGTACAATAACGCCGTAATAAAGTACACAGAAAAGGACGTGGCAATCATTTTACAATTCAAGACGTAAGGTAGGAGCATGACAGGGGAACTTAGACCCAGTAAAGTAATAAAAGAAGTAACTATTTCTTCCAGGATAATTACCTAACTTTTCGCGGTGTGAAATGACTATGATGATGAAAATAATGTATTTATTTGTAGAGATAGTTATTCAGGTCGAGGCACGGGTCGATTAAATCTAGGTAACGATCGTGGTACAGGCCCTAAAGATCATGATCACAGTGTTGTCCTCACGCATAAACGTTTCAAACTCACCACGCTATATCCACATTGTGATGCGGTAAATTCAAATCAAAAGCGCTCACACGCACTCACCCACTCACTCACAGTTGCGATGTTTCATTAAGAAGTTGAAGCACCTGTCTTCGTTTTTTTACAGAATATACAATATCATTGACGCTGTCGCGTATATTGTTAAAGAGAGAAACCTCATATAAAAATTGCGAATATGTTTTTCCATATTTGGCGGCGATAGAAAGCACTTCATACCGTTCGGTGTAACGCAGTGATCGAAATACTACATGAGGTATCTTAAAGTTACGATTCCAAAAATATTTAAGTATAACCGTTTGAACAAACAAACCGTTGAATGATGGTAAACTCAGAGTTGCTAGTTTTTCTTCTTCAGTGTGTTAAGTTGGACCGTAAACAAAACTTTTAAACATTCCTTTCAAACCTGACTCAATTATCTGACATCATAACACAGAGATATGTCCAAAAATTGTAATCCCGTACCGTAAAATACCCTACGCTAACGCTTGAGTTATCGTTTTTTAGTTACATTAGGAATTAATGACCTTGCATTACACGGTAACCATGACACACTACTCAGTCTTTCACAAAGATAAGCCCGATGGAAGTTGAATGTCAAAGCACTATCAAAATGTATTCCTAAATATTTAACTTGATCTGTAGTTCTGTACAAGGACACAGGGCAGCAGTTGCAGTCTGTACATTCAGATGTATAATGCACGTAAACTGGGTGATCGAACGTTAAAACTTTAAGTTCATTATGGAAGAAAACAAGCTTAGTCTTAGATATATTCACCGTAGGACACTTTCTTTCAAACCTGTTATGCAAGTGGCGTGTGTCCTTTTGAAGAAACTCGATTGCTCGAGCATAACCACCATGGAGCGAGAGTAACACAGTGTAATCCGCTTATTGAAAATGCTTACATTTTAAAAACAGCGTTGAACATATTTTTGACGAACAAGTTTCAAAAAGTGGTGACAAACTATAACTCTCGGGAACCCAGCTTTTAAATTAACTTTAGAGCTTCCGCTATTGTATACAGACATCTTCATCTCCGTAGTTACCTGACCGGCGGACAGAAGGCGCTGGCGCACGCGCCGCCATAAGGTGCCTTTAATTTAGTTGGTTTCAGTTTCAGTGGACTCGCGGCTGTGTTGGTGTAATATGTCGTTCTCGCTTCGGTTTATGATATAAATGTATTCCTCGTGGCACAGAACCAGTGATACAGTGGTAATGGGCCACCTTAAGAACTGCGGCGTTACGAGCCTGAATTGTGGGTGTTTTTACGAACACCTTCATCCTATCCTGTCCTTCGTTCTGCCAGGTTTGGCGGCGAAACGACTGAAATGATGCCGGGGGAGGATTACGGATGTCTACGGTCTTACCGGATGTACCCGCTGATACCAGTTTATATAAAAATATGCTAACAAAGAGAATAATACATGGAAGAAAGTGAAAAAGCAGGTCTACGACCTGACTGACAATGTGCTGAAACGCATCGACTAGACAAACTCCCCAGTTTATCTGTACATCTGCATTCCATGAAGTGGTGCCAGGCACCACCACTTCATGGAATGCAGAAAAAAAAGCGATGTTGTCTTCATCGGTTGCTTTAAAATCAAGAGCACAAGAGACATTTTCAAGGCCGATCCTAAGCCGAGTAGGTTTTCTTTTGAACTATCAGCCCTGCTAAAGCATTCATCAGCACAATTTCATAATGTTGACCTTAGGGAACTATTTGTTACACGGACATTTCCTTACAACGTATTGAGAACATGAGATAAGGGACAAACCTGTCAATTGAAGTCTGGCGTCTGTCTTCCGTATAATTTGCGAAATAAAATTAAAGCGCAAAATAATATTCCCCTCCAGCAAGCTTGCCTGGCTCAAGTCAAATGTCAGGTTTGTTTGAACAGATATGCCTTTTACTTTGAGCGGCGTCCAGAGCAAATCCGGCATCGACAACGCTGAACTCGAGTATTTTTCCATCCAGACGGCTTCTTTTCGGCGTCACGTATTACGTGCCTTACGTGCTTCTCTCAGGCAAGCACAAGCTGTCTTTTACGCGTTTTTTCACTCGGTGAGCCCAAAACGTTTTTGTCTAAATAAATTAATCGAATTGCGTATCTTAAGGCAATTGAATGACCGCAGACGAGAGCGAGCACAATGTTTAGTATCTTTAAGTTCATAGATCAGCAGATCTAAAGAAAATTCATTCCGCAAAAGTTATTCCCCCCTAAAATCAAAAGCAACTGTTTTAGATGTGTTATGAAGGCAGAGCACCATGCTTTCAAGAAACACACATGGGGACTACTTGCGTTGCCTATAATTGCCTTCTTCCTTAAAATCATAAATACGCGATCATGAATTTACCCTGCGCTTCTTGTTGCGCTACTATAACTTAGCCACTATAAGATATAAACAAACTTGCGCTGACATAAATAATTTGCCTCTCCACTCTCGTGTGTCTTAAGTCATTTACATACTCAAATGGCGCAAGTGCTAAAGATGATTCCTTTCCTCACACGTATCCGGTACGCGACGGTGCAATAGTCAAAACGTGTTGTAAAATCAAGTGCAGAAGTTGTGCATGTAACGATGGTATGCAGTTAGCTAGTTAAAATAAGTATCAGACGACACTCCACAAAGACGGCACTTCATAAAGAGCGGGTACAGCGGCCACCCTGGAAGCAGGTCGACTGAAATGCCGCTCTTGTTTCTCATCGAGCAGGAATTACTGACGCACGCATTTGGCTTGAGCTCGTCAGCAATTTCCGTTCAGGCGAACACCGGGACCGGAACAAGCTTCTTCACGAGCCACGGCAGGCAAGGATTCACGTCATGGCCTACCGTTCAACTCAACCAATGGCAATATCGGGAGCTTGGCACCATGGGGTTTCCCAGCCCCGGCATAAACCTGGATCCAGCAACGCCGTCCTTCAGTGGGCGCAGCGGCCACGCTGGATGCAAGTTGACTGTAATGCCTCTCTTGTTTCTCATCGAACAGGTTAGTAGCAGGGACTACAGTAGCTGCTATAGAAGCGACAATAGGTTTCTATTCTTGCAGCTATGCTCCAAAGTGTCTTGTTCTGTTGTGTACTGTTTTCCAAAATGAATGCTGCCAATGCTTTGTGGAAATGTGGAGGCGAACCCCGGCCCCGCACATCTCGAAAGGATTATGAAAGAACTCCTCAAAAGTCAAAAGCCAATGAGCGATGACGTGAAAGACATTAAAGCTAACCAAACAAAACTCCCGGCAAGTTTTGATGGGATGAGCAGAAGAATGGATGAAATAGAAACCAAATTGGGTAAGATACAAAAAAAAAACGAAGACATTGGCAACTTGGTTACTACGGTAAAGCAACTGCAAGAAACTGAAACTTCAGCAAAAAGCACTGATAAATATGCAAGATGAATCTAGAAAAAATAACTTGATTGTTTTTTTTGTGTTTTTTTTTATGGGGGGGGGGGGGGGGGGCGGGGGGATTACTGAGCCAGAAAAAAAGAAACTAGCGACGGTGTTCGATCCAGGGTGCTCAAAGAACTTTTTCATGCCCGCCTCGGTTTAAAAAAAAAAAAAGGAACAGTGGAGTGAATTCATAGGTTAGGGAGAAAATTTGCAAATCAAATCCGACCTACTATAATAAACTTTAGGACTACAACGAAAAAAATACTGGTATTTCAGAACTACAACAAATTAAAAGGTACCCATATCTCTATTCGAAACGATTACTCACAGGCGACGTTAGGTAGACGTAAAATGCTTCGGGAAAGCACGACCATCGAAAGAAAGAAGGATACCCGGGCTAAACTACTCGACGACAAAATTAAGTTGATGACGACTTTTCCGTGTGGGATGACGATACCGCCAGCCGTACAAAGCTGAGAGATAAGGTACGAAGCACCAATCAGTGACGATCGCGGGATGCAAAAACAAAACAAATGAATCCCAAGATTTTGTCCGTCCGTCCATCCGTGCATTTCCCGCTAAATTTAGCGGGTAAACTGAACTGGTGACGTGACGTCAATTGACAATGCGTGACCTGACGCCACGTGATCTATACACCGATTCACTTTCCCCGCTAAGTTTGGCGGGACATCGGTGTCACGTGACCTGGACACCTTCAGATTCCCCGCTAAATTTTCTGGGAAAATTGACGTCACGTGACCCATGCATCCACTTTCCCCTCAATGCACCGGGGAAATTGATAACAAAAACAAAAAAACAGCTATTTTTTCACTGACACGACGGTGTAATACCTTCTAAGTAATTTTGAACGATCGCACCTTAAATACCAAATTTCATTATTAAAAAACTTTGGAGATTAAGATCGCTGCCAATTTTCATAAGCTTCCTAAAGTCCCTGAAATTTTGAATACGCAGAAAATGCTCTACTTCGAGCGCGCGTTTTCTGCTTTTGATAACGCTTCTTCCGGCGCGCAGTCACAGCCTGGGAAGTGCCATAGAACGCGTGTTGGAGTCGGAGCATGTACTGAGGATTTCTTAACCTGTCACCGACATGAGTAACGAATTCCCGCATCAGGTGTCCGCCATTAACTTGCAGTCGCTTTCTGCGCTTTGAGTTGCTCCCTCTGTTAAATCTGGGCTCTCCACGTGATGAAAGGCCGGTTCACACACAGCACGGCGCTAAGCCTACGTTGAGAAGAGCGCGTATGAAGCGCTGACTCGCACCTAACTTAGCACGGATGCAGAGCTGTATCAGAGCCGCATCACTAGTATAGACCAACACACTGTTTAGAAACAAGTCAGCGTTTGCTTACATCAGGTACGGACGCTGCGGGTGGGCAGAAACCAGCTTTCCGCGAAGCGCGGCGCCTGCGCATGCGCAGTTCCGACAGCAGCGCCACCGCAGTGCCGTGACGTCAGAAAGTTGAGTCGGCGTACACCGCAAAGCTAGCGCCGCATCAACAAGGTCGGCGGTATTATTTCCAGCGCTGACTAATTGCCTTGAGGTGGCGCTGTGTTGTATGTGTGAACCGGCCTGTAGGGCGCCTAGATTTCGGAGCGCTTCCGACTTCTTTATTGAAATCATATGATTTACAGGCTGCGCTTGCGACACAACGTGCGAGGAATTGACGAAAGTGTTGATCGTTCGCAAGCGACTGCGCGCCTCCTCCCGGTTTCCTTTTCGCCACATGGCAAGTTGCAAAAACTCTACGTCGTTCGAGTTGCTCCTTCTCTTAAATCTAGGGCCTCTAGATGACTCGATGACCACTGCACCCCCGGAGGCGAAAGCAACGAAAACGAAGTATCCACGGCGAAAAAGCCTCGCCAATTTGCTGCCGCCAAGGCTGCCCGGCAGCCGCCGCGCAGCGCGTACACGCGTTCACGCACAGACGAGGCGTGTCAAGAACGAGAAAGAGAGAGTTACCTAATCGGGCGATATGCCGGACACTTTCGAGATCGGATCGGACCGCGTCGACGTCGGCTACCGACGCCGCCCCTGGGGCGCCCGAAAAAACGAAAGGCGACCGGACGGTTTCTCGTCGGTCGGTCCGCGCGGCCTATCTGATGGACCGCGCTCTCAACGGGAACGAGAACACGCCCAGTCCACGGCGGCCGGGGCGGCGGAATTCCGTGGTCGGCGCTGCCGGGCGACCGGGCAGGCCTCGCCATCGGCCTACCTAGGTCGCGCCGCGAACCGTTTTGCCCCCTCGCAATAAAACGCTCGCCCCCGAAATGCGACGTCATTGTTCGGCCCCGGTATAAAAGCGCGGACCTCGCATTGCGACCACCACAACGTCTCCGGACTTAAGCACCAGCAGCATCATGAACGCCGTGAGTATATTACGTCGTCTGCAAACGCCGACGTCTGCAAGAAACGCTTACGCAACGAGCGGACGCTTAGTGACTAAAACAAAACAAAAAACGCGGACCCGTAGAATGAACTGTCATGACCCGGAACCCTATATTCAAGAAAAAGCCATTGATCTAATAGAAATGAAAATATAAATATATATATCAAACAACACCAGAAAAAAAAAAAGTTAAGTTAATCAAGATCGGTCAAAAAGCAAACGTCGCGTTCTACTCGATGACAGAAACATTGCTAGTTACCCGCCATCTTAAGACATTCATAATTTGAAGGTTAATTCAGGGCAGTTGGGTCTTTTTCCGAAGATTTAATCAGTATTAAGCAGCCGTGCACTTAAGTTTATATAAATCATTCAAGATTGCGACCCTTTCTGGTGACAGTCACAGCCTCCCCCCCCCCCCCCCCCCCCTCCTTAACCTAAAAAAGAAGTCTTCACTTACTCCCCAAGTGATTTACCATTACTCCCACCGATGTCGGACGGGTTGTTGTAACCCAGGCGTTCGACAGACGAGTCCAAGTTAGGGCAGTTCAGCTTATCCTCTTCAACCTTCTGTAGCGTCCAACGTCCGCAGTGGTCCTTTAGCTCCAAGCCATTCTCTAGGAGCACGCATCAAGGCCTCGCACGTCTTCCCACAGTACGTCGCCGTCCTCCTTCTGGTCGCTGCCACCGCCAACGCCGGCCTCGTCGGCGTCGGACACGGTGGCTTCGGCTATGGTGGCTTCGGCCACGGTGGCTTCGGCTACGGCGGTTTCGGTCACGGTGGCTACGGAGGCCACGTTGTCGCTGCCCCAGTCGCCAAGGTTGCCGTCGCTGCTCCCCTCCGCGTGACCAGCGCCGTCACCACCAGGCACGACGTGTACGCTCCCCGCGCTGCCAGGGTAAGTTCCCGTCAGTAGACGCGTCCCTCGACTGGTAGTTGCGTACCCGCTCGGGGACGGTCTGTAAAGGAGTTCACGAATCCCAAAGTTCTGGTAGTAGGTGTGCCTGTTGACTGGCACCGCCCAGGCACGGCCAGTGAAAGAGTCCACGGAGACTACAGTCATGTTAGTAGATGTACCTCATAACTAGTGGTTAGATCAGTAAACACACCTCAAACGTTTTGGCAGATAATTTAACTACGCCATAGGTGCATTTTGTGGTATCCATAAGCCATATAATGCACCCGGTAGCGATAATATCGAATAGCGGAAGTACCTAACAAAACGCGTTCGTGAGTTTGATATTGCTACAGGAAAAGGACAGACTCTCACGTACTAGCATACTCTAAAGATACAAAAAAGAGACAGAAAGAAAACTGTGCAATAACAAGCCAGACTGCATGTCTTCAAAACCGGAATTGCTATGGTGGTGCACATTAGACTTCTTTTAACAGATGCATGTGTCGAAAAGATATGCTAGTAGAAAAGATATGGTCCCGCAGTGGCTTAAGAAACGGATCGAGAGGCTAAAGGATAAGGTTTGCAAAGTCATTAGTCTTTAAATATCACGTAAGAACAGCCCCTAGATACGGTTCTTGCCGGCTGGCGCCGGTGTCTATAATAAACCGCCAGCTTCGCGTCTCGCTCTCGCCATTAACTCGTAAACGAGCCCAACGCTTCGCTTAACCTCAAATCAGACAAGAGCCGCGCGGAGACACGCGCAACGTACCGCTTCCTTCTTGCTCCATTTACAAACAACCCGGCTGCGGTATACCACAGCCACGCCTCTGAAAAGAGAAGCAAACCGGGCGCTCACTGTCTTTCTTCCTCCATTAAGATGTCCCGTTAAGAACGCAAAACTTAGCATCACCGGCAACGCACATAATGACGTCACGATTTACAGCCGTCTGCTAGGGATAGCAGATGGAAATCGGACCTAGAGATTTCCGTCTGCTACGGTGTGGCACTACGTAGGATTGTAGCGGATAGAGTTTCTGCCACAATACTCAAGAAGTTTCCTGTCGACGCAAGTTCAGCGATCGTCTTCCTCGAGCATTCTTCATACACTTCCTCCACAGACGTCGCTTCCGCTAGTCGAGAAGGCATGAACATCCATAAGTGTAGCCGCCATAAGATAGACGCTCCTTGATATCAGCGATGATGAATTGAGATTGTTGAAAACCCGTGCAGCACGCTCCTCGCAGAAACCGGTGTAAAACGAGGGCGCCCATGAAATGCCCGAACAAATAACAGATGATCTAGAGTGCGAAGAAACATCGGACAAGGCAGAAACAGGCCGAGTGGGCTTAGCGGATCGATGGAGCGGTAGCGAATGCCAAACAAACTTTAAATTTGTTTTCGTTGTCTTAAGGCCATACGAGCAGTTCTTCATGATGCCGCCAAAATCTTACAACAATCGCATGGATAGTTCAAACACGAAAAAGAAGAGCACGCTAGCTTTTCAGTGTTAATAAAGCGGCAGGTTGCTCCACCTAGATGTGGTGGTAAACAGATTATGCTTTTTTTTTTTTTTTTCTTATGGTGCTGTTGTCGCTTGCGCAAAATAGCAGGGCCGGCTTACTAGAAAACACTGCCTTAGCTGAGACAAATATATGAAAGAAAGCCCTCCAAGCCCGGAGTGTGCGAGCGCTTGACCAGACTGGACTTCCGGTGCCATTCCGCTCATGCGCTAGCTCTGTTGGCGTTGCTGCCTTTCACGCAATATTAGCCAAAACTCTGTTTCTAGCAAGCCGGTCCCGTTTCTCGTTTCTAACGTCACGCTAAGGCAGTCAGCGGCACTTCCTGTCGTACAGATGATGCGTGGATGCATCCTGCATACAAACGTCCATAATCCAACGCCCGACCTTTTCTTATATTCACTTTGGCAGGTTGTCCACGCTGCCCCAGTTGCTGTCGCTGCCCCAGTTGCCGTCGGCTACGGCCACGGAGGCTACGGCGGCTATGGCGGATTCGGCCACGGACTTGGCTTCGGCTATGGTCACGGTGTTGCCCTCGGCTTCGGCGGATTCGGACACGGAGGCTACGGAGGCTACGGCCACGGCGGCTATGGCCACTAAACACCTTCATCTCACCTGTACAACTACAACGACAACAACAACAACGACGTCAACAACAACATCCAACCTGTTACCTGCCCCTGTGTTCAATAAAAGAGGGCGCAGGACCATCGCGCCCTGTGTTACAAAAAAAAAACCACACATCGTGAGAATATTTTTTTATGCATAGACCGACGACCGACAGATCCAACACCCTTCTTTAATTACAGAACTAAACTTCTTTGTCTTCTAATTCATGTTTTACAAACGATGTAGAGCAATTACGTTTCGACATAACAATATTGATCTATATTCGGTGACAAGTTTCTGTGGCATTTCAAAAGAAATTAATAGCTCCTGTGCACAGCTCTGGTCGGCGCTCAAGGAGCCCAAGAAGGGCGAGCGCAGATGCGCCGCAGAAAGTTTTCCCCGAGCAAGGAAACTCAATTTAAGTTAAAAAATCGTTAGAAGTAAGAAAGTATACTACGTTATTTCTTCCTTGGTTGCAAATGGTAGCTCTCAGTTGTATACCGACCTAAGCCCACCCAATGCGTTTAAATGTGTCCGACCGCTGTAGTGAACAAGATTATATGCGGCTCCCAATTGAACACGGGCACGGAGTCATCGTTCGGTGGTTGCACCCTGGCAGGTCTAATATGTCGACAGATTTCTGGATTCCCTTTAGGAAGCAATCAGTGCAGTGGTAGAAATCACCGAACTTCAAAAATATACGTAGCGCCAGAACACGTGACCCATGTCGCGGGCTTACGAGGTAAACATTTTTCACTGATGTATTTCGTAAAAGCAAACCTAAAAAAAAATGATTTTTTTAGTGCTCGAAATTGGGTGACGCTCGGTATCTGGAGTAAAAAGCTAACGCAGGTATTTTTTCAGAACTTCGAAGTTTAAGTATAAACAATTTTTAGTGAAAGCTATACAAACATTTCCATAGTTTCTTATTATAGTTCCGAAACAGAGAGAAACCTCACCCAAATTCAAACGTTTCATCAAATACCTGAGCAAAAAAGGAAAAGCCAACAGTCATCAAAGCGCACCAAACATATCGAGAATTCTCCAAGCTGCGTAATCTACACACGTGTTGCGGGTCCTGCATTGTGTAAACGGGGAGCTAGCCGTTCCGCAGTAAAGTGAACAGCTAGTTTGCCGTTCACTATTCTGGAACAGACAAACGTAACATTTGTTCGTTATGTTGTGTTCTGCGAACAATGAGCCCACCACTGCATTTTCGGCATGCCGCGCCGAATTTCGATGGTTGCCTCGCTCCATTTTGCTTATCTTCATTCTTCATTCAAGCTTCGGGTTCCATCCACCAATATTCAATGCCACGCCTATCGCCATTGGTCTCGTCTTCCACTTTAGAAACTTGGGACACGTTGTTCTGTTTATTTATGACCTTTTACGAGTCATATGGAAATCCATACCGTGTCTATACAGAAGTTGAGCAAACGCACTTCCGGTATCGAACACAGGTGAGAGTAGAGGGACACGTGGTCTTAGCTAGAGGATGCTTGCAGCTCAAAAACAATAGCGCCGAGATCTTTTCATAGCGCCATTACGGTTTCAGTTCATGACAACGTTACTAGAACTCGTCAGTTAGGAAACTGCTATAGAGCCTGCGAAAAAGTGGCGCCGATCCTTATCCCAGTACCGAGCTAATGGCGATCACAACGCTGCCATTTCTCCCACAGCGGCTACTCCGTGAACTGCACGGCTGCACTTACTGGTTCCGTCTAGTCACGGAAGGGCCGGTGGCGCCATCTCGCAGGGCCATCTTGCAGTAGCCACATAAAGCAACTTTCATTTTCAACTCGTCGCTAAAGGGTGGCGCTGTTATCGTATTTAGCTCGGTCTCGGTGGACGCCAGCGGCCGAGGTTTCAAGGACGAGTTTCCCGACTGAGTGGTCTAGTAACGTTGGTTCGTGACGTAACGACCAGAACTTTTTTTCTCCGTGACGTCATGAGTCGTAATTTTTACTACTTATCATTGTTTGCGAACTACAAGTTTGATGGTATGTGAAAAAAATAACGATGCAAGCTTGGAGTTGGCGTTTCTTAAACCAACATCGTCACAGTCGATACTCTGACATTGCGCCGATTTACGACGATGAAAGAAACGTTAATCCAGATAAAGACGTCCCACTCAGCGTTTGGCCAGTCGTGAATCGCGACCACAGCGACGCCTTTGGTTGCGCACGTCGCTAATAGTTCCTTCTAGCGCAAATCGGCGGGCACCCAACAATAGAAAAGCACCAAAAACGCAACGTCATTCTTTCGCGCACGCACTATCTCCATCTCGACCAATCAAGCCCAGCGAATGTGCAAGTGACCCCGAGCTTGTAGTCTGTTGTTCGTACTTCCTGATGGCGTGTATGCGTTCTCGTACTCTGTTCTCTGTATGTGTATGATGTGTATGCCGACGCATCGATCTGGGGGAGCCAATCAATCAGCGCAAAAAGTGCACCGTCACGGCGCTGCCTACCTTCGGTAACGCCCGCGCAATGGCGGGGCGGTCGCGTCGCACGCAGAACCCTATATGTGGCTCTGGTAGCACGGAGTGTATAAACACCGTGGAACGCGACCGGCGCGCCATTTGCGCGGCCGTTACCGAAGGCAGGCTGTGAGTGCCCCTAAACGAAACCACGCCGCGTACTTTGGTGCGCATTGAAGTCGGAGCGCGGTACGGTTGTGCAGGGTTGACCGCATGAACTGCCCCGTCGTTAAAGGGGGTGATCCGGCGTTTTCTTCATACGTTCCCCGATTCGCCTGACATTTGCTAGACACAGCAACAAACATCGCTGAAACAGTGACTTAAATATTGGGCTCAAATATTCTTTTTGCGAAGTTATTTAATTTACGATTTTCGGTCCTCACCATATTTTTTTCCAAGTAAAAGTATCTAGTGGCAAATATGAAAAAGTGACGTCAGGGGAAGGCACGGGCTCACTCTTTGGACGGCAGACTGTTCCGAGCAGAACACAAGCAGTTTCATGCTGTCCAATGACTGATTTAGTATCTCGCTCCAGCACTCGCGCAGCAGCACGAAACAAATGCTCGGCATAGTCCATTTTAAGACGGTCCGCTCGACCTGCAAGTCTGCCTTCCCCGACGTGACGGCATTGATAAGTGCGGGCATATTTGCATGTCGGCTTTGGGATCATTTTCACTTGCCAATTTCACGATAACTATTCTGAATTTCACGATGCTGAATAGCGTACCGAGAAGGACAAATGACGGTGATTCCGAAAATACAATCAGATAGAGTAGCTGCACCGCGTATGAAGTTTTTTTCAACTCGCCGTTGTTTTGTGGGGCAGCGACAACGATGGACCCGCGCCGTATACGACGCAAGAAGTTTGGTCTCCCGATCGTGTCTGGCGCTGTATCATCACGGCGGACATATATCTACACTGCCGCTTCGCGCTCTGTGTTCGTTTTTGTACCAGTAACGCCTACATATTTTAGCGCCGATGGAACGGACAGGTAGTGCTCTCTTGGAGAACCCTCTACGTTTATGTTCAGAACAAAATGGCCTTGGAATACATACCGTTAAAACGAAATCGATTGTACGTAGACCAGTAAATAAACATATTGAAACTTCTTATGCGCTTAAAATTGGTAGAATGCAGCTTGCAATAGTAAGCCATCATAAAACGCTAGGTGTGATTTCTTTCACAATATATGCACTGGGACAATCAAATAGAATTCCTAACCCCCAAACTAGCAAAGGTATATAGGATCGCGTCATCTGAGAGCATGACACTCCGGTTTCTGTGACGGAAAGGGCGCTAAACTGGTAGGACGCTAAACACACCAGCCGGAAACGCATTCCAGGCACCATACCTATAGTTCCCGCACAGAGCCCAGGAACGGAAGTTCGTCTTCCTCTTGCGCAGGGCCGCAGACTTGTGCCAGTTACTTGAAAAATGGAATGAATTACAATTACGAATTACCGAGCCTTAAATGTAATCGATTACCGTTACTAATTACTATCGCTGAAAAGTATAACGGATTACTTTAGTCGTTACATTACAAATTACGTTAACGTTACTTTTCCCGTACACTGATCAAGACAACGATAGAAACCATTTTGATGTTCTCGAAAATGTTCTGCAACACTACTTTCTGTTTCTCATACGCCGCATTATGGTAGTCCTTCAAAAAAATTAAATATTGTATTCAAGAGAACGAATGTAGGCGCACTCCGTTCAAAAAAATTGGGTTATGGGGATATTTAAACAGCGTGTAGTTGGTCAGCCATTAAAGTTGCGACGAGTCACACGCTGCGAACTCCGCTCACCTGTAAGCTGACAATGGAACGAAAACTGCAACCACACCCGCAGTCCGGCTCGCAATTACGGCGACCGCAAATGATCCCTGGAATTCTGCAGACAAAGCCAGCAGTGCGCATGCTCAGTAGCAGCGTCTACCTCCGCCAGGAGATCAAGAAGGCAGCGCCTACTCGGCGTAGTCGTCTCAATATTTATTTTTCGCATATTTTTATAATCCTTCCATGTTTTTCTAGTAGTTCTAGTGGCCGGTCATACAAAAAATCGTGTTTTCTTTAAGGTTATTCTCCTGTGCACGGTGTTTTCAATTTTGTTGAACTTGCCGTTTTTATGCTGCTTAATCGCCGGCTTATATTGCTTCAGTTTTTGCATTATGGTCATATTTTTTTTAAGGTAACGAGTAATTAAAGTAATTGCTTACCAATATTTTGTACCGATGTTGCATTACAAATTACTGCCGCTATAAAGTAACGTGGCCATTACAAAATTACTTGAAAAAGTAACGAATTACAATTAATTCGTCACTTGTAACGGATTACTTCCTAACTCTGCGCACGAGTTGCGGTAACTTCAGAACGCCGAACTTTGGTTGGCCCCATTTGGAAGGGTAGTGGGTAGACCTAAAGGCATCCAGCA